CCTCCAGAGCTGCCCCCCGCCTCGGCGGCCTGGCACGCTGTCTGTCTGCTCCTGCCCTGCCTGGGAGCTTTGTAGAGGAGCTCTGCGGTGCACACCGGTTTGGTTTAAGCTCCCTTTTCAGTTTCTCCGATGTAAGAGTCGTGCTGATCTGTCAGGGTGTTAGGAGTGTCCCCTTCCCCCCGTGCTTCCTTCCTTCTGGCTTTTCCCAGGCTGAAAAAGGAAGGGAACACACCTTGCTATCCGGGGATTTGAGAGTCACTCCTGTTTTCTTGGGGCTTAGGTAGCCTTGCAGTTGCAGACCACGTATTGTTCATTCATTTGAAACGAGAAATAAAACCGACTGTATCCGCTTACAGCGCAGCTACGTTACCAGGTATGTTGTATTCCAGGTTCCGTGGCTTGTGCTATGATGTGGGTATTTTCTGGACAGAGCTCAAATTCAGGGGCTGCTCTCTACAGGAAGCACTTGATAAATCCCCGTAGAAGTCTGAGGTGCCTCCTCCTTGTTTGCTCTGTGGGGAATCATCTGGTGGTTGTGGTGTGCGGCTGCGCGCAGTTGTTGGCTCTGTGGCTGGTGCAGCTACAGCTCTTGAACGCTGATCCCTTAACGAATGGGTAGGGAGGGCGACCGTGGAAACCTGGAGCACCGTGTTCGGTAGCTTTTCGGACTGTGCTGTGCTAGGATCCTTCTAACCCGCTCTTTTCCTTGGATATAGTACAAATTTAGATTTTTTGGGGGGGGAGGCAAGGGGCCAAGGCCAACCAAAGGACTATGTCTTTTTTTAATCAGGATGCCTGAACGTATCTGTGAAATAACAGGCAAACAGAAGCGATCAGCAGTCATCTCGACGGCTGCTGGCTATCGAAGGGTTGGGGCAGGAAACTTCAAAAGTCTTGGGGTAATTGTGTGGGGAAATGAATTTTCAGCTAATGTACTAGCTCGCTTTAGGTCGGAGCTGAGTCCTGGAGCTACGTGCCGTGGTGGGCGTTGCGGGCGTGACGTGCTCGCCCTGTTCTTCGGCCCGTTCCGAGGCGCCTGCCGTGGGCTGCTGGAAGGAGAAGGCTGCTGGGGAGGGGGGCTGCCCCTCGGTCGGCCCCAGCGCGGCTGTTAGAGCCCACGTCCCTCTGAAGAACCTTCCAGAAGGCAAAGCTGGTCCCACACGGGGTGGGTCGGGTGCTGTCTGCGAGACCCACTGCCCACCGTTGCCTGCAGGAGCCGTCAGGCGGCCACCTCCCGCGGAAGCGTTCTGCTGGCTGCGGGGAGGAGCTCGCTGATGGCCACAGACTGTCCCATCTGCGGGTTTTTCCTGCAGTGCTGTCGTTGGGACGCTGAGTAACGGTCTTTGGCACCGACTTACTGCTGGAATTTAATTTGTTCGTGCTCTTCACAAGCGTTCCGTTCTCTTTGGACAGATCTCGCTGATTCATCTCATCTGCCTCGCTGCAAAAATGAGAGATGTGCTGAAATTGGGAGAAAGAAGCTGGTGGGGGAAAAAAATCAAGGCCCAGCTTCAAGGTTGAAGCTCATTTAGGTAGTGTTTTTGTCCAGCGTGGTTGGTAAGAGACTGTTGGTGTAGGAATGCAGCTTAGGGTCTGAAACAAGCACGGGCCAATTAAGTAGTAGGAACTACAGGCCTTTCTGATGAGGGGAGGAGGTACACGAGTGGGCCGGTGGTTTCATATGGACTTTTAGCAACAGGGAAGGAGCTAAATCATCCCTGGTGCTGCTGAGAAGGTTAGTCCCTGTCCCTGAAGAAGCGGGTGGAGAAAAGGAGAAGGTGGTAGAGCAAAAAAGGAAGGACTCTGTATTCTTCAGCCTTAAACATGGTTAATAAAGACATTGTAGCGTTCAAGCAAGCGAGGGTGGATCCTATATCCTGAATTCCTGAAAGGCAGAGAAGTTAAACAGTCTTTTCTTCTGCACCTATATGCACCCAGAATCAAGGAGAATTTTTAAAACTCTACTACAGAAGAAATGAACTCAGTTGTTCTCATTTTCCCCCCCACACCTC